ATATATATATATGTATGTATATATGTATAGATACATATTATAATATAGATATATATATTATATAGTATAATAATATATATAGTATATATAGTATATATAGTGTATATATATAAGGATAAAAGTATAGATACATATTACAATATATATTAAAAAGTATAGATACATATTATAATATAGATATAATATAGATACATGTTATAATATAGATATTATACAGATAATATAGATACATATTGTAATATTGGCTTTTCACAAATATTAAAATGCATTTTATATGTGTGCTGTTAAAGTAACTGTTATAAAGATATCATTTTTATTTCTGTTATTAATTAAGTTTAGATATAGTAGTGAAATAGTTGATATATGTATGTTTGTGTTAAAATGCCTGCTTGTATGGGATAACATCCAATGAACACCTCATGAGGACCCTGCTACAGATTTGCCAACTATCAGCAGTCACCTTCTGAAGACAAAATTTAACAAAATTTAAATTTAATGAAATAAATTCAAGAACCAAAAATTTTAGGTTTGTTTTTTTTTTAACAAGGAAGAACTGAAAACCTCAGGAAACTTTCACTCCACACTGCTGATGGATGATTGAAGATGTAGCTTTATTAAGCTGTTGTTTGGCAATTATATTATCATTTACAAAAGTTTTCTTGTGCAATAAGTTAGCAGCTTTTTGATAGAATGGAAAGTTTATTAGGAAATACTTTCAATTCTCTGAAACAAGTTAGTACTTATCCACCTCCTGCCCAGAAGCAGAAGACATATCAGCTGACAGTGGTTCACAGAAGGTTTTCAAGTCACATATTGTAATTTTTGTTCATAAACGTTAAAGCACATTGCAAATACACAAACGTGTAAAAACTGAGACTAATTAGATAAACTTTCTGCCTTACAGCTCTATCAGAGAGTGATATTCTTTCAAAGAGAACAAGACAGCCATCTAGAGGGCATGAAAGATAAACAGTCTTTAGATCACAGGGGAGCACTGAATAACCAATTCACTCGCTGCAAGCCAAAAAGAATGAAATGGATCCACCCTACTTTTATCCACCAGGTGGTTTAATTTTACTTGGTATTTCAACATATTTCCTCTTTGACTTTTTCTTACAGATTTCAGATAAAGAATAATCAGCTGGCAGCCCAAAAGATATCTAGGAGTGGGGAGATTGATGGTGGAAGAGAGGGATGGGGACAATATCAACAACAGAAACTTGATTGTAAAAATCAAAATCAAGCAAAATGTGGACAGACTGCAATAGCTTCTCTTTTATTTGCCCCAAGTGACATAAAAACAGGGAATTAACATAATTCCCTTTATCTTTGTTATGTCATAGAGTAAAAGGTTTTAAAAACATTTTGTAAGGTAATTGCAGATTTAACAGTATATTATGAGAGAGCAAATTTTAATTTCCTTAGAGGGAGTTGACATCTCCTCTAAATTTAGTGTCATAAGCAAACTTAATTAGTGTCCCTTGAAGTCCAGCTTCCAGCTTGTTTAAACTGACAGCACAAGAGATTTTTACCAAAGGCAAACCTCAAAAAACGCCAGCATTCAGAAAAGGCATCTCTAGAACTCCTTTTTTAAAGGCTACGTTTCTCCTGCTATGGTTTCCACAACTGTCAGTGTAAAACACTGTGCTGGGAGGGCAGAGAATAGCAAGAAAAGGAAAGGCAGGGAGAAGCTGGCTACATGCACAGCAGCAGGGGTCAGTGGAATCTCATTTTTAAAGTTTTCCTGCAGACGCGTTACCAGAGCGCCGTCTACAGCGAGCGGCTGCTGCAAGCCCAAAACTCAAACCCGTTATTCCGCACAAAAAGGGGAAAAAATCTTCCCTAAATGAGAAAAACCACGCACACACAGGCATCTGTTGTGGAGCCTTATAGGCATCCCGCTATTCCGCATCAAAGGGAACCTAAAATCTTTCCTAAATGAGAAAGGACCACGCACACACAGGCGTTCTGCAGTTCTGCACCAAAGGAAACTCAAAATATTTCCTAAATGAGAAAAACCACGCACACATAGGCATCTCTTGTGGAGTCTTACAGGCGTCCTGCTATTCTGCACCAAAAGGAACACAAAATTTTCCCTAAATGAGAAAAGACCACGCACACACAGACGTCTGTTGCGGAGTCTTACAGGCATCCCACTATTTGGCATTGAAGGGAACAAAAATCTTCCCTAAATGAGAGAAGACCGTGCACACACAGGCGTCCCATTATTCTGTACCAAAGGGAACAAAAATCTTCCCTAAATGAGAGAAGACCACGCACACACAGGCATCTCACTCTTCGGCATCAAAGGGAACACAAATGATAAAATGAAATGATAAAATGATAACATTTCCTACATTATAAAAACCAAGCACACACAGGCTTCTGATGTGGAGTCTTACAGGCGTCCCGCTATTCCGCACCAAAAGGAACACTAATCTTTCCTAAATGATAAAAACCACGCACGCAGAGGCGTCCGTCTGTCCGTCCGGCTGCTCCCAGCACCGCGCACTGCCCGGGCCAGGCGGGGCGGCTCCGGTACCGGCCCCGGGGCAGGGCTGCCCACAGCCACCGTGGGCAGGTGAGGCCGGGGCTGAGCCCGCCCCGAGCCCGCACAGCGGCGGCCGAGGCCGGGCTGAGCTGCTCGGGGCGCTCCGGAGCGGGAGGAGCTCCCAGCGAGCGGAGCTGATCCCATTCCCCGAGCAGGACAGCGCTGGAACAACGAGGGTAGGGTGCTGGGGACGGACAGAGAGCAGAGATCTCTGCAGCCAGGGCTGGAACTTGTGGGTTATTGCAAAGGGGCCCTGCTGGGGGCTGCCAGCCACAGCTTGGAGCACACCCCAAAGAGGAGCCACAAAGAGAAAGAGAGAGCGAAGTTCCCATTCCAATAGCATGAATCTTCTTCTGTGCTGAATATTCTAATTCTCACTAACCAGTCTAGTACAAGATATAAATCCTATAGCATTTACATGCAGCCTATCAGAATAGGCTTTACATTACCATATAATGTAAAGCCTATTCTAATAGGCTCTATGTAAATTTACCATGCCGATAACATCACCACACTGGGTTACATTTTAAACCCTAAAAACTCCTCTTTGGGCCCTTCCGCCAAGCTGGCAGGGTCTGCTCTGAGCCTTGGGCCTGTCTGCAAGCAGAGGGGATTGTTTCATCCAAAGGGGATCACCTTCAGCTGGCCATGCCATTGTTTTCCAGTTGTTCAGTAACTGAGGGATCTCAAAGCTTGCTTTCATTTCAATCTCACTTACAGTTTCCATATTCTCAAAATCTTTTGCCAGGCAATCATATTTATAAGGATTTCCTGTTTCATCTTCCCCAACAGGAGAGTAGCTATCTGTCAGATACAGAGCAAGAGATGCAGTGAGGAGGGGTTTTTGGGTCTAACAGCCAAAGGTAGGAGTATTACGCCTTCAGAACAGCAGTGATACCACCTTTGATTGCTGTGCCCCTCTTCCTGGGCTTGGCCTTTCCCTCCATCCCTCTCCTGTGCATAATTGCCAATGGGAAATTCAACCAGTCATCAGCAATGCCCCAGTGCCCAACAATGCAAAGCTTTGAGAGGTACCTCGGCAAGGGATTGCTTTATTCTTCAACAGAAAGAAATTTTATCCCTTCTCTCAGCAGATGGGTTACTGTTTTGCCTATGCCCTCCCCTGTCAGCGCCACTCTTCTCCTTAAAATCACAGCTCCTCAATTGTTTGCAAAAAAATACTGAAGAACATTCACAGCACTACAGGTTCAGAGGAGGAAAAAAGGGAAAAAAAGGCAGAAAAGTAAAGCTTTGATTGATGGTTTCCTCTGCAAGTTCAGTGCTTTTACTGGAGATATTGTGATACTGCCTTCCCTTCTCTCTAATAGCATCTCTCCCTCCAGCAGGTCAGTACAAGAAGGAGAGATAAGTTCCTGCACAAGCAAGAAAATAAAGCCTAATTCCTATCCTTCATCCTCCCTTGGCTTTCAGAAGCCAAAAATTCACTAAAGCAGCAACAGGTTACTGACACTCTCCTTGTATAACAACATCTTAATTCAGTAAACTAAAGAAATACTCTACTCCTTTTAATTTTAACTTTCAACAAATTTAACTTTCAGAGCTTAATTCTGATGCAGTTTTTAATTAAAATGAAAGCTAAGGCTGACTAAATGGGAATGTAGTATTTAACTTTTTTAAGTATACCATAAAGATAACATTGATTTTAAAGGTTTGCTTAACCACATAGGCCTTTATAGACTTCTGTCCATAAAGACAAGCAGAAACAATAGTGTTACAGTTTGACTTTTTTTTTCTCCATTTTATTAGCACAAAATCCTGTAGTGGGTGAAAAGAAAGAGAACATATGCATGTACTTAGAACATGGAAAACTCACTGCACAAATGGGGATTCTTTCTTCCTGTTATTTTGCCAATTTCTTCTCTTACCTTCAGAATCTGAACTGTGATAGTGCTTGCAAACTACAAAACCCAATCTTAAGAGCCCACTGCACTCCCTCAAAAAGAGCTCTGCAGTTCCATTAGCAAAAAGGGGCTCAGCCTAGATTTAAGAGAACAGACCTAGAGCACTTAAATTCCAGTTTCCTGCTGTAAATAAAAAAAAAAACACATTTACACAGTATGTGCATACACCCCAATGTTAATGCATGTATATTCATTTTTACATATATCAATGGAAGTTCATTCTATAAGCACAGAAGCAGTCCCAAGGTTATTTCTGACCACATAAATACACCAGCTGCAGAAATCACTCCAATTAGTTCTTCTTGCAGAAACTTTTATAGTGGGACTTGTATAGTTGGTCCAATGGCTTTGCAACACCTATACACACACAGGGACAGGTAAAAGGAGGCAAGGTCTTTATGGGCCAGTGGCTGAGCCTCCTGCACAGCAAGGCTGGTGTACAGAATGACATCTGCACTACTAATACCAATAAATTAAAGGATTCACATATACTGCCCGTAGTATGAAAGTCAGCAGAATTCACAAAATCAGAAAAACCACTATTTTAGTCAGATTGCACAGAGACAAACAAGAGGGTGTTTGTCATAGTACAGAATCAATGTACTTCCAAAGTCCAGTACTATTAGTAAATTATGGCACAGTGAACTTAATTGCCATGCACAGATAACACCCTCAGACATTTTGCTAGGAATTGTCTTGATTATCAGTCAGAGAGTGGAGAAAGATCCACCATCAAAAGTCAGTAACTTGGTAATTTCTTTGCTTGGGAATAGCTGAAAGGGGCTGCTTTGTTCCAACAGATGGCAGACATTTCAGTTTAGTTAGCCATGCAGTTGTTTCATGAATAGGATTAATCACACAGATTTATGACATCCATGTTTTTGCAAAAGAGAGCAGGTAGTTTATTTCTGATTTTATTCCTTCCCTTCCATCAAAGGGGACATACCAAGAAGTGTGGTCTGAAAGCAAAGTATCACTATCTCTCAGAATGAAGCTCCAGGTCAGTTCTCTAAACAAACACATGATCACTAGAACAGAGCTCTCTATCTTGCATCCACTTAACAAGCACAGAATTCATGAGAACTATGAGCACACCAGCAAGAACAAGAACTACTTAATGGAATGATTTGAGACCAGCCTCAGCAAGCAAAAAGCTTGAGTTTCACAAGCCTTAATAACACCAATTTTGTTTTTGCATGACAGGAGGTAAACTTAAGCAAAAGAGGATATTCTACAGATTAATTTAAAAAAAAATTTTAAAAAGTTAAGCAAGTGACTGTTCAGTGTTTCACACAAAACCCAACTCAATTGTTTGTAAGTTTTGACCAGGCAATCAGTCAGACACAGACTGTTAAAAGAGGACTCCAAACTGAAAACCTACTGCATTTGCAATACAGCTGATTTCAAACTGGCATTTCTAACTCCACTGGCCTCAAAGTATTTTCACAGTAGTCTCAGTTGCCCAACATGAGTTACAATCTGCTGTTCCACAGTTAGGACCACTCTTCTCTGAAACATACTTCAGGCTTTCAGACTACTCTTCTCTTGTTCCACAAAACTTTGGAGTGAAGAGCTGACAAGTCTACCCAAGGTCTTTAGCTTTCCTCTAGACTGCATTCCTAGGTGTGCCATTGTGAGTCACTGCTTTCATATTTGAGGTGCTTGATTGATGGTTGCAGATCCTGTGGGAGGCAACACCTACTTCAAAAACTTCATGGATGGCTTTGCGGAAGCAATGGAAATTGTAGTCTATCAAACCTGGCAAGGAGAGGAAAAACTGGGCTCAGATTGGCATATTTATGTAAACACAGCTTCAAAATCAGTATCAAATAGGTATTTTGCTAATTATTTAGTATAAATTTGGATTGAGAAGATTTAACAAAGTTTTACTGATGTTAGTATTTATTTGGATTGTCTCAGGTAATAATTTGGAATGCAAGGTGTATATTCATGATCAAACAGTAGGTGAGGGGCCCATGGCTCCATACCACTGATCCCACAAGAACAGATGGTAGAGACAGAACTCACGTTAGCTACACAAGTCATTTTGGCAGCAGGACAGTGATTAAAGTGATGATTCACAAATTTAAAAATACGACCTCATTAGATCTATCTCCAAAAAATAAAAATTTTCTCCCATAAGAAACTACACAAATTTAGTCAGACAAAAATCAAGGTGACTTGTAAAGTCATATTCATATTTTATAGCTGATAGAAAAATATTATATAAAGGCTGCTCAATGGCAGGGAAGTTCTTACCTTTGCGCTCAAAACTCTCTTCTCTAAGAATGCAAACTAATGCCAAAAACTTTGTTACTTCCTTTAAGTACAGGACTGTTGTGTTATTGAGCTTGATAATTGCCATTGACTCTTTATCATAAGCACTTCCAGTGCCATCTTCTTTTAACCTAAAAAAGAACAAGTTAACCCAAGGCATCATCTAACATGTAACTTCCAAGACAAACAGCTGCTAAATGCAGTTAGAAGAATATTACTCATACTGAGCTAAGCAAATGGAGAACCTGCAATGCAGGTCTCAATACTCTCAGTGAGTAAGACCATTATCAGACTTCAGTTTCTCAGGAAAGCCAGAGCTAAACAGGGCAGAGGCCTTCATTAGATACTGACTATCATAAATGAAAAGTTAAGAGCAAGCTACCAGCATGAATTCTTTTGATGTTTGGAGTGACAGCTCAGTGAAATTACTTTTGGTAAATTAATATAAAGGCTTCCTTTGTGAGACTGGGGCAGAGGATGCAAAATGGAGCAGGACACTTTTGGTCTTAAGCTACACCAGCTTGCATTTATTACAAGAAGAGATGAGCATGCTGTTTTCTAGCTTCAAGTTATTAGTGTTAGTTAAATTACTATAGAAGCAAATGATGTACTGCAAGTTACTTCTAAGCCCTCCTGAAAAAAACCCCAAATCAAACAGTTACACAACCCTGGATCAACCCATCAGGAGACAGACCATGAAATGCTGTGGTATTTTCTTGGTAGCACTGCATTTTCCAGGCTACAGTTCTAACATAAGCTATCACTTCTTCAGAACCACTTCTCAAGTCCAGTGGGAAGTATAATTCTGCTGTAAATTGTGAGATATCAGCACTGTGTGCATCCCTCATAGATGGTCAGCAGCAGATGAGTTATCTGGCAATTGTTGTTCTGTTCAGACTGCAGCAAATCTCAAAGCAATATCACTGCAGGTTACACTTATGGCATGCTATTGACCCCAGTTATTTACAGGTATTTATGTACCTGCTCCACCACGCCAAACCAGACACAGCAGTATTCAGATTTTCAAATACTTGTGTAAAATATTTGAAATATACTTGTGTATATATATACATATATAGAAGAATATACACTTGTGTATTTTCGAATATTTTGTGTAAATTGTGTTTAGAAACACGATTTCTACAAATGTTACATATCTGTCTAGGGCCATCAGTGGAGGGAAACAAACCAAGTATAAATGCTGCCAAATAATTTGGATTTATTTTAGTTATTCACAGAACCAATGTGCTCTAAAAACCAATTGATAGCATTTTGCTGCATGACAAAGCCAGCACCAATTGAACAGTTTACAATCTATTCCTACAGGTGTTTCTACACCTTCTGAGGACTCTTTTTTTCCTGAGAGTATTCATCACTTACCCATATATACAGGAAACATCTATGACTACATCAATCATGTCACAGCACAACTCATATGACTGCATGTCCACAGGAGAACTGTCTGTTGCAATGTAGATTTTGCTGACTACATCGAAGAGAAAAGCTTTTTCAATGCCTGAATTCTTCAGAAAGAGAAAGAATTTGGATGAATTTTGAAAATAACTGCATTTTTATAATCTCAACTAGAATTTATACATCTTCACATTCTTAGTAGCAGAAGATAGTTTAAATATAAGCAATTTAGAGGCTTAGGATAGATACAAGATTTAGAGCATTTACTTTACAAATACAATAACCTTGTTGCCATAATACATATCAACATCACATAGCTGACAAAAATAAAACTGGGGACTCTGGTACAATTCTTTTCAGTTTGTTATTTAACTAATCATTATCAAGGTTACATTTTACTGTGCTTCCAGAATCCATATTCAGCAATTTACCTTTTCTGTGTTTCTATTAACTCCAGAAGAGCCAGAATTCACGTCCTCCTAAGGAACTGGGCTCAGAGATATTTCATAGCAGTGTGCTGACCCTTAAATTTATGCTTGTAGTATCTTGGCAGTTCAGTTTCTGCATGAAGCATTTGCCATGCAGTTTAACATGCAGAGCAACTTAGCTTCTGAAGTTAAAAACCCATGAAAAGTAGCACATTATGAGTATGGAAAAGCACAATGCCATTTGTACCTGAGCATTTTGGTAAAGTGCATGTGTCCATACACAGTTCAGAAACCTTCTATGGTTCAATTTATCACACATACATTACTGGCAAAGCTTCTTTTCTATTTATGCACCAGAAACACTCCTTATCTTTTCCTAGCTAGTCTGAATACCCGGGACAGTGTCCTGAGGATATCCAGACAATCTTTCTGATATCAAGATTACACTCCACATCCTCATGGCACTGGGAAGGTCAACATATCCTTTATCCACTGGGCAGGTTATTACAAACAGTGCTCTACCAAACAAGCATTAAATGGTAGCATGGGGTGACATGTCTAAGTGTCCAGCTCCTCCTGGATATAAATGTTTTTTCTTTGTTGTCCAAATGCCTGCAACAGCCTCACAGACAACTTAAATGAGATGGCCTTGTCTCTAGGGTGATATTTTATTTGATTGAAAGTACAGAGCAGCAAATTTCTAATTCCATAAGAAACACAAACACTAAGAAAAAAAGGGGAAAAGTCTCACAGGTCATATGAAACAGACAGCTGAGTCTGAGGCCAAGTTCATATTATCAAAAAATCTCTGGCCAGTACATTAAACTACTAATTGCCTTAGCAAAGTAATCAGTACACCCTGCTGGCAGGAAACCTCCATCAGCTGTTACAACCAGGCAAAATACACTTTGTCAATATTTAGAGAAAGTCCCAAAGCACACAGCAGTACAAATCAGCTGGTAAAGAGCTTTTAATACAGAAAACCAGGTTGCCAGAGGACACCTACATGAGTGCCACCCAAATCTCTCAAGGGCAGATCTAGCCAGAAACCTTTAGCAGAAGGACTTTGCTTTACCATTCTGGGTATTTCATTCAAAGTTCTGTGAGATGAACACTTACTGATATGAAGATATTAAGTAGATTTTCCAGGGTTGGCAGCTGTGGAATGAGCTTCTGTACCACTTTACTGAAGGCTTCAAATATTGAATGGTCATAGATACTGGTCAAATAAAAGCTGAGATGAGGAGGGAGGGCAATGAAAGAAAAAAGAAAAAGAAGATTCAAGAGTGTTTCAGAACTGTAATAGAAATGTTAAAGTTACATTTTCTAACATTCAGGCCTGCTACTTTTGCCTGGGATGACTTTATCACAAATATGTCTGGACATTGCACAAAGAATCAAAGTTCTGAGCAGCTGGAGTACACATGGAACAGATTTTTCCCATCCTTGAGAGATGGAAGAACAAAAATAAAAATCTCAGCATCGTTAGAATACACTTTGCCCACACAATGCTTATCACAAAGGTGTAAAAATGCTTAATCAGATTTCTGCCAGTCCCATTCCTGGCCTTCCACTTTTTTCACATTAACATTAAGATACCGGCTCCACAAGAATCAAAAGAACAACAAAACCAGAGAAAAGATAGCTTGTTTTAAAGGTGTCTGTAGAAAATACCTTAAAAGTGAGCCAAATCTCAACTAACACACTGAGCTTTTAGAATCAACCACACTAATCACAGGGAAAATCAGTGCAAGTCAGGACTAGAAGGCAGAGAGATTCCCCTCTCTTTCCCTGCTCCTCCAGCCCACAGGCACAAATCTGTTACACTGAAAGAGAAACTTTCAATTATCACTGAGCAGGGATAAATCTGTTGATTTATAAATCTGATACAGTAGCCTGCCTCTTTTTCAGTCAGCCTAACAGCTGAGGCTTGTGCATAAATTCAGCAATCTTATTTATACAAGTTAGTTCAATAAGAAACTACCCAGATCTTGCTCCAGTATTACATCTAAAAGCCTTTAATCTGTATGCATATCAGCAACAGCATGAATCACATATGCCAGAGTCTTTAACTCACCTAAGGTGAAGTTTTTCAAGCCCAGCATCTGTAAGATCATCATTAGCCCTCTGATGAATATCCCTCTGAGTTTCTATTTTATGGTCATCTGATAAACCATCAACTTTATGAATAAAAACTTCAAAGTTCATTTCTGGGTTGACCTTGTAGGCTTTTGAAACTGTAATGTGGAGTCTTGTTAAAGCTTCCATGTAGTCATCCTGTAAATCAGTTTTGGCAGGAATGAATGACAAAGTTGCTGCCTGATAACTATTCCATTCTGCACAAAGACAAAATATTTCAGTGCAAGAACTTCACTTCTGTAACTAAATAGAAGTATGGGACAAGAGAATACCTTGGTGTGTCATAAATCCAAGCAGCTTAGATTCTTTATGTCAATTAATTTTCATTAGCTATACAAGGCTCAGCTACACAAAACCAGACTTCAGAGCAAAATGTGGGGTACACTTCAACTCCAGCACAAGGCAGAGATCCCCAAGATGGTCCCAAAAACCAGAAAACCTCCCAGGGTGCAAATCCTAGGTTGATTAGAAGCTACCAGATACCAGTATAACAATACTAGAACCTGAAGTCAGAAGTGAGCTGTTGTTAATTGAACTGTGTGTTATTAATTGAACTCCAGAGCAGAAAAAAGGGATAATTCAGACCAAATAACCAAGCAGGTTCTCCCTATTATTACAGAACAGGTAAGTTCAGAGTAGGAGCCCTTTTCCACTCTCTCCACCAGCAGCATATGTCCAGTCACTCCACCAAAACAAAACCACACACCAGGAGTCAGATTGCCAATGCATCTCTTCATACACAGCAGAAGCCTCTACCAAACTTATCTAAAAATATAAATGAACTTATCTAAAAATACAAATTACTGGCCTCTTCATCATCCCTTTCACACAAAAAGTTAAACTAAAACTTCCTTGTCATCTGTATTTACCTGGGCATCAATAACATATATTAGAGCACCTGTTCCTCTGAAGATCATCTCATAATCAAATGTTGGATCAAAAAAGTCCATCTGTCCAGGAAAATCCCATATTTGGAAGTTCACAAATGAACTGTTGGAAATATCATCCTTGTAGATTTTGTTGGTACTTTCCAAGAACAGAGTCTCATTGGGAGACATTTTGTGAAACACCACCTGTGAAAAGAACACAAATAACAGTCTAGATTTTATCTTATCAGAAGAAATTAGTGAAAGATTTGTGACTTGAATTTTACAAATAGGTTTTACACATTCTAAAATGTATAGCTTGAGGTAAATAGACAGCTTCCTGCATCAGCTAAGGAAATTGTCTACCCCTTAAAAGAACCAAGTAACTGCATACAGTGAAACGTTTTCACAAATAACCCAGCTGGCTGGAGACAAAGACATCCAAGTTACTCTTTCTTTTTCCCAGCAAAGCTAGCACAGTGTTTTCAAATTCTGTTCTATTCAGATCTGGCATAAAGCCAGTTAAATAAATAACTGCAAGCTTTTAATACTTTTCCTTTCAGTCTTAGAAATTCCTAAAGGAAACTTTGTTTTTAGTCTGGTGTCAGGTGTTAAAACACAACATAAAGAGATGGTTCCTAAGCTACAACAGAAGAGTACAAAAATAACACCTCAGTTTTAGGTAGTTTGCCATCTATTAACAACTCATTTTGAGTAGGGAATCACAGAATGGGTGAGGTTGGAAGGAACACAGTGGGGTTATCTGATCCAAGCTCCCTGCTCAGGCAGGGTCATCCCAGAGCACAAGACACAGGATTGCATGCAGACAGCTCTTGAGTGGCTCCAAAGGGAGACTCCACACCCTCTCTGGGGAGCCTGTTCCAGGGCTCAGGCATCCACACAGTAAATAATTCCTCTGATGTAGGTGGAACTTCCTGTGAAAGCTCACTAAAGAAAGGATGAAGGATTTCGCACCAGTTGGCAAAAACAGTTCAGCTGCAGGATGATAAACAGACTCATTGCCAGAACTCAAAAAGCCCCACTGGGATTTATTTTAGTCCTTCCTTGCAGAGAAGCAGCACAAGCAGCCTGTAGCAAAACCAGCCAGTGTCAACAGAGAACTCTGTGCTAATGCAACTCAACCAGACAAGAAAGTTACTCCAAACAATCAGTCATACACCAGGACTGCAAAAATTAAAGAAGTTTCATATACAGCTCTTGGTAAATCTAAAAACTTCACAATAGGGACTGCAAACTTCATATACAGCACTTTGTAAACCTAAAACCTTCACAATAGGGACTGCAAACTTGGTCATTTTGGTTTCTTCAAGTGTTTCTGACAGCTACAGAAGTCATCCTTTAGAAACCTGATGCAACAAACTATGAAAAAAACTGCAAGACCAACAGCTCCACACCTAGTACAGTTCAGTGAGGTTCAAAGTATTACTTCAGCCTAGATTTTTAAGGCCAAGGGAAAGAATTTATTTCCTTGGGATAAACATCTCAGGAGGCCAGGGTCTAACAGAGGTTTTAAACAGCAGGACATTTGTAGGGAGAAGTAAGAACACTTCTAGAAAAACAGCAGCTGTACTGCATTCTTCAAGGTTTGCAGCATAGTTCTAAAGTACACTGAAATCAACATTTCTTTTGGGACTCAGCATCTCCCACAAGAGCAGGACAGAATTAGTAAGTTCAGTTTAAAGCTGATAAGTCTCTGGGAAGCAACACAGTCACCTCCTTTTTTTCCCAAAATAGCACATTTCATCAGATTGATGTTCTCCACCTGAACTCTTTCCAGTTTCCTATTACATCAGTAGAGTACAGTAAGTCCAGTTATGCAAGTCTGCACAGAAATTTGCTTATGAACTGAAGCAATCACTGCATTCCCAAAATTTACCTACAATTTGCAACTGAGTATTAATAGGTTACACCAGCATGGAAAACCCAATTGACCAAAGGAGAAAAAAGCCCCTCCCCAGGACTGTGTTTTTTTCTTTTGTGAGAGATCTCCTGTCAATACTGCACTCAGTAGAAGCATGAAATTATTTAATAATCATGTTTTTCACAGAAATTTCTAGATAATCACAAAGCCAATGCTTCCCCCAATACAGAATTTATCTAGCATATATCCCTATTTTCTGGCAAGGGGACCAACAGCTGGTGCCCAGACAGAAGGGCTGGGTCTGGTTATGCCCATTTTTGAACTAGAGAGATTTAAGAGCAGGGACACTGTTAATAAGAAATTTCCTGATATTAGAGTTTGCTCAGGCAGCATCACAGTGAGCTCCTAGGAACCAGAATCACAACTTCTAATTCCTAAGCAAGATTAGTAACTGGCAAAAGATAAATTCTATGTCCTCTTACTGCATATTCAATATGACACCATTCCTTTCCTACACAACTACTGGAATAGACCCTCAAAAAATTGAAGAGTGCCATAAAAAAAGTCCAAAAGCTACATGTATAAAGAGACTTGTAATTTCTTGAAATCTATCTGTAATCTGGAGTTGCTGTCTTCCTCTTGCTTTTAGGGCTCAGTTTTTTCAAAAGTGGATAATACAATCAGATCTCTAATAAGAGTCTACAACGAATACCATTCACATGAGTAAAATAGTTAGAAAAAAGGCTTTCAGTGAAAGAACATTTGCACATACAGTGGGAGCATTTGACCTAAATAACGGGGAGTAACTGATAAGGCTAAAAAGCAACAACAGTCCAGGCTACCACTGGATTTCAGCACAGCACAATGGCAAAGATTTCTCACTAACAGGGGCTGAAGTCAGCTCAGAACTCATTGGTTTACTGCAGTCTTGGATCACCACGCAGCCTGCACAACATTTCTAAAAGGAGCAGATGCATACCTTCTATACTGCAATGTCCAAAAAGGCTTCTCTGCACAAAAACTTTATAGAAATCTCTGTAGGCTTTCACACTTGCATCTGAAACAAATTTGAGACCCTTAAGTCTAGAGCTGAGACTTATGCATTTCACTAGTAATACCTTTCCATAAAAACATCACCTATGCAAAGTTCACAGGAGGGACTGCAAACAAAATTTGCACTGAGGAACAAGGATTGTTCTGACTGCTGCAATTCCAGTGAGCTACCTGGCAAATCAAAAGTCAGTTTTGTCTTATTTTTATTAAGAAACACTAATGACTTCACAAAGCTACCAACAAACCTAAGGCACCGGAACTGCTGCATTTCCTCCTTGCCAAGGGACTCTCGTTTACTCGCTCTAAAGGAAACCAGAGGCTCTTTCTGCTCTCACAAAAGCAGAAGTCTCCCTCAAAGCATCAAAGGGCAAAACAACGGCTCAAGCCTTCCAAATGGAAGCACTAGCTAAACACCACACACCTACACCACGTAAAAAACCTACTCATGATAAATTTCACACCAGCGTCTTCACTTTTTACGCCTTAAAAGTGAAGAAATACAAAGGCTACAACCTATGCTACACAACCTTCCTCTCTAGGGCAGATGATCAGAGTCCATTCTGGAAAGCAAACGTCTGTAAGGAGGAGGCTCCCGTCGCTCCAACTTCGCCACACGGGCCCACAACAAAAAGTAGAAATTGCCCGAAGAGCGGCAGGGCGGGGAGAACCAGCTCGGCGCCGGAGAGGCAGCGCGGCAGGCAGGGGCGGGGAGCCGCCGGCTGCCCCTCACCTTCTGGATGGAAGATTTCCCGCTGCGCCGCAGCCCCATGAGCAGAATCCGCGGCTTGGAGTCCGCCCCGCCCGCGCCGCCGCCGGGCCCGCCCGCGCCGCCCCCGGGCCCACCGGGCCCCGGGCCTCCCTCCAGCTCCGCCTCCTCCTCCTCCTCCCCGTAGCCGAAGTCCTTGGGGAACGAGTCCGCAGCCCCGAAGCTCCCCCCCACCAACGCCGGCTCCTCGGCTGCGCCTGGCGCGCCCGCCCCGCCGAACTGCAGCGCCATGTCCGCCCGAGCCCGCCGCCCCGCAGCCGCCAGCGCCCGTCCCGGGGCCTCCTCTGCTCGCCCGGCCCAGCCCAGCCCGGCCCCGATTGGCCGCTGTCAGGCTGCGCGCCGCCGATTGGCTCGGCCGGCAGCGAGCTGGGAACGCTCCGGTCAGACGACCCGAGTCACCTGACGGCGCTGCCGCACGTGAGCCGCGGGGCGGGGCGGCACCGGGCGGCGGCACCGGGCGGCGGCACCGGGCGGCGGCACCGGGCGGCGGCACCGGGCGGCGGCACCGGGCGGCGGCACGCAGGGCTCGTTGCGGAACGGCGGCACCGGGGGCGCGCAGGGCTCGGTGCGCCCGGACGCAGCGGAGGCACCGGGGCGCACACCGCTCGCAGCAGAGGTGAGATATAAACTTTAAAGAACATAGGGATTTTAGAGGAGCTAAAATTTTAGAGGTTTCAGTTAGAGATAAGCTTTATTGGATTTAATCAAAATAAATGGGTAGGTTGATGAAGTTAAGAGTTAGTAGTTAACTAATAATTGATTGCTTGTCAGCACAGTGTTTGGTTAGCTGGGTTTATAATGAATATAGGAACTGATAAATAGCTTTTAAGAAATAAGACAATTGTGGCCTCCTCTGTTCTGAAACCAATTGAAGATGGGAAATAGGAGTTCTACCAATGGGTTCATTTGTCATATTTGCATTGAAAAGGTAGAAAGGTCAGAACGAGGAAGACTTCATTTACTTCCTCATTTTGGGACCACTGACCCATTTCAAGGAACAAACTACGCATGCTTAATAGCTTTTGAACTAATTGCCATATGAAGCAGGGAATGGGATGTACCAAAGTTATGAATACGCATTTGTATTTTGGCTATTCAATACTTGGATAGATAAAAGGATTCTGTAATCACCTGTAAACTTGGAGTGTATTTGGGAGTTATCCCACAATAAAGATTCACTTTCTAACTCTAAACTCTTAGAGAGTCTTTGTCTGTCACAGGTGCTATCAGTACTACATCAATATCCATATTTTTAATAAATCAGAGGCACTGGTTTCAGCAGGGGAGCTTTTGCCAAAGCAGCCGTGTAAGAAAACATTACCTTGTGAAGCAATAGTCTTCATTAACAGTCATTGATTTTCTTCTAGCAGCCATGGTGCAAGCAGGCACTCAGCTGAAGCTTTAACAAATCTTGGTTATTTCATCACAATCCTAGTTTAAGGTTCACGATATCCAAGTGCTTTCAGAGGGAAGCAAATACAGTTATGAAAACTCTTAAGTTTGGTTTACTTGCCAGGCACTGAGAGCTCAGGTCAGTTGTCCGTGCCCTGGGATGGCTGGGCCAACACCTTTACCTGCCTTGCTGCTTCCTTAGCAGGACACCTCACGTTGCTCAGAAACACCTTCAGCTGTACAACACCTTTCCCACCGCATTACCCTCTCCCTGCTTCCACATGGTGCAACTTAATGCTTCATGTTCTAGCTTACATTCAAGGGAACTTTCTTCTGTCCTTTGTTCCTGAGGTTTGGGAAATTCTTTTTTTTGCCTTACTTGTTTGGTTTTGGTTTGTTGGTCCAGGGCAGTTTTTTCCTAATTAATGCTTTACAGGCATAAAACAGTATTTTCCCCTCATTTTACCTCTCTTCTGGTCTATTTAGATCAATAGATGTAATATTAAGGCAAGCAATTATTGCATTCACTAGCCCTTGATTACAATGACTAACAAAAGTTCTGATCCATCTTGCCACATTTTCAAGGTAGTTTAACTTCCTTATTTTTAGGATGGGTTTTGCAGACTAACAGCCAATAAATCTAATACATAAGACAACTACTGCTTTCATTTCCCCCTTCCTTTATTTTTGCTGTCATCAGTTGCCTTTAAAGTACTTAATTTTAGGGCAGGAAACAAATGCAGCTCTTTAAAATATTATTACTTTATTTTTATGGATTTTTTTTAATAACTACTTTGCATTTCAGAAGAGTGAAGCACAGTTATCTGAAAGTTAATCATAATTATCATCTTTTCTTAAACACAGAAAGCAAGAACCTTGGCCAGCATGCTTAACTCAGCAGTTGCCAAGGCATCAGCGTGCTCATGGTGATAAATTCTTTCTCTAAGATGATGAAGTAACAAAGTAGACAATGCAGAGTTCACACACAAGACAGCATTTCTCAGGAAGCCCTTTATTAAGTCAAGGCAATAAAGAAAAAAACTACTGTTATTCACCATGCTTCTCATCTTGAGGTGGTTCATACTGAGCCAGCTGTGGATTTAAAGAAAGGAATTTCATTAGTTGCAATACTTTATGTAACACTCTATATTAAGAAGTGAAGGAAAATACATGGTCTGGACTTGTTCCATTAACTTTGTACATTATTAGGCAAGTCTATTTTCAAGTCAGGCAATAAAGTAACCCTTCCCCAAAGCATCCATTTCTCACACTGAATAACCATGCAGCCACAACAAGGTGATTTTTAAATGCACTTTGAAGCACATTTGTCTTGCCCTCAATTTTTCCCTGTTTTAATTCTAGCAGTTTTTAAGTACGTTCATCTTAAACAGCAGTTGATAGTGACTGGGGTACTATCAGCTTTCACTGAAACATGATTCAATGAAACAGTCATTCTCATTGCAATAGTATCCAACACAGCATTTCTTGTAATCATTCCAGCTTCCATTATCCTTTCTGGAGAGCATAGCCTGGGCAACTCCACACTTAAATATGACCTTTACTTGTACAGTTACTACCAAAGAAAGATACAAAGTTGTTCATGACCTCAGTGGCATTAAAGATTAGTTCAAGCTTCAAAACCAGTTCAAGAATTATGGCCATCTCCCTGAAATATGCTGGTTCAGTTTACTCAATTTAGATTCCTCCCCTCTGCAAAATGCAGAGTGGGTTAAAAATAAAGTACATATAAAATTTTAAAACATAAATAAAATTAAAAATAAAAATGTACATGTGTTCCTTCCTACCAGCACCAGTAAATTGCAGCAATCACTCTGCTGCTAACAAGAACCACTAAAATTTTAATTTTTTATTATTGTAGGTTTTACTACAATGGATTACTAGTACACAACCCAAAGTCAGTTTTCTATTCTACCAAGGTCCTAACTCCCTGTCCTCCTCCCAACACACATGAATATCTGACATCTGTGTGATAGTAATTATCAATAAAAGCACAGATAAAGATGTGTATTTTATGTTACAGGATTGCTACAATAGAATGTAGTGTTCTCCCTGCTATGTGAATTTTACAGTATGTCAGAATGATGGCCATGACATTGTACAGGAAAGAACAGGAAAAAACAAAACACACTAATACCGGAAAATATGTAAAGAAGGAGGAGTTCTAGGACATGATTCCAAAAGGCTTACTTTCCTGCAACAAGTTCTGACTTCTTGAAAATACTTCTTTAAACAAAGACCCAGATTACTCTGCTCTTATCTATTTATTATCAGCTGGATTTTCAAGTCTGCTAAAACAGGTGGCTGGTCTACTGCTACTCTGCCTAAAACTCTGTTCTTTGCCATATTTCCTAGTAAGAAATAACAAATGTAGCTGAGGACTCATAATGGGTAATAGGGAAGAAGGAGAATTACTAGGACAGCAAGATGGCACTCTGGACAAGAAATACAAAGGGGTAATGGCCAAGAATCCTTTCTCACAGAACTAAAACAAGGTGGGTTGTCTCCCAGGGGTATTCTCATATAACAGCCACCATCCTCTTTTAACAAATACATGGGAACCTGTAGTGGCACATTAGCTACTAGCACATTAAGTATCTCACAGGTTTCCTTCTTCAGTGTTGTTAGAGAGCTGTTCACATCTCAGAGCTCTCTCAGCCAGCCTGCACACCCATTAAAGAACAGCCCTGCCCCAGCTAGCACTTCAGATTCATTGTTGTTTCACATAAATCCCAAGGTCACTTTAAATTAAAAGCATAAATTATTGTTCCACAAGATCTAAGTGCCCGTGTACGTTCCTGCCATGTGGAAGTCTGTGCCAAGTGACACAAAGTAATACATAATATTCCTCCTTCAATCTGCCTTTTGAAAGGCTTTATACTGGATACTTGTTTTTCAAAACTGTCCTGAAAGCATGATCTACATAATATCAGATAACTTAAACACATCCTGACAAGACTCAATACAACATATTGGGCATGATAATACACTTCCCCTAAATAAATAAAATCCCTACTTTAGCAATATTTTCTGTTATATTCTACAAGAAGTGTTCCATAAAAAATAATAAATCTTTACTACAATGAATTCTATCAGCATTTCTCAGTCATGAGGCTAAACAATGTAACAACATCTCTCAGTTACTCTAATGGAAGGAAGTTAGCTCTATTTAAGTAATTAAAATATTTTTCTTGTTGTATAAGATGGAACTATTGAATAACACCAAGTAGACTTTTACCTTGCTTTTCAGTTTTTTATTTTCTTCCAGCACAGCTTCATATTTTTCTTTCATCTCTGCCACTTCCAAGCGAAGTGCTTCTAGTTCTGGATTCTCAGGAGCTGAAGCTCCCAGATGATGCTTCAGAAAACTGATATTTAGACGTTAAGTATTTGTTCACTTGTATAACTAAATTTTAGTGTTAACACTGCAGTACACATAGTCAAAATTGCAGTAAACCATTGAGATTACTACAGGAAAAAAGTTACCAAAATAAGACAGCTTTTCAAATTCATATTCCTTAAAAGCAAACAAAAACAAGATATCAGTACAAATTCTTATGGGTTAGTACCCCCTTCTTTTCTTTTCTTTATGGTAGATGTTTTGAAAACCTAAAAGAAATAACAAAAAAAAAAGAAGCAACAACCAAAAATGGAGGCTGCTTAAAAACAGCATGAAATCAAATATGCTAGTTCCCCCTTTCTTCATGTATTTAAAAACAAACAAAAAACAACAGAAAAAGGAAGTGTGAAGAAGCAAACTTCAGAACCCACTGCCACTGCAGGTGCTCAAACCTAACGCTGCAGATCTCCAACACTGAAAT